AACTAGGACTGAACCAGGACTAAACCAGGACTGAAAACACTAGGACTAAACTAGGACTGAACCAGGACTGACCAGGACTAACAGGACTAAACCAGGACTGAACCAGGACTGAACCAGGACTAAACTAAACCAGGACTAAACCAGGACTAAACCAGGACTAAACCAGGACTAAACCAGGACTGAACCAGGACTAAACCAGGACTGAACCAGGACTAAACCAGGACTAAACCAGGACTAAACCAGGACTGAACCAGGACTGAACAGGACTAACAAACTGAACTAGGACTGAACCAGGACTAAAACCAGGAACTGAACCAGGACTAAACTAGGACTGAACCAGGACTGAACAGGACTGAACCAGGACTAGGGAACCAGGAACTAACTAGGACTGAACCAGGACTAAACTAGGACTGAACCAGGACTGAACCAGGACTAAACCAGGACTAAACAGGACTAAACTAGGAACTGACACCAGACTAAACTAAGGACTGAACCAGGACTAACTGAACCAGGACTAAACTAGGACTGAACCAGGACTGAACTAGGACTGAACCAGGACTAAACTAGGACTAAACCAGGACTAAACTAGAACTAAACCAGGACTAAACTAGGACTAAACCAGGACTGAACCAGGACTAAACCAGGACTGAACCAGGACTGAACCAGGACTAAACCAGGACTGAACCAGGACTAAACCAGAACTAAACTAGAACTAAACCAGGACTAAACTAGAACTAAACCAGGACTAAACTAGGTCTAAACCAGGACTGAACCAGGACTAAACCAGGACTGAACCAGGACTAAACCAGGACTGAACCAGGACTAAACCAGGACTAAACTAGGACTAAACCAGGTCTAAACCAGGTTTAAACCAGGTCTAAACCAGAACTGAACCAGAACTGAACCAGGACTGAACCAGGACAAAACTAGGACTAAACGGAAACTAAACTAGAAAAATGAAAAACCCACCACTTCAATCCAGATTAAAAAAGCAAATGTGACGCTTGTTCCTCACATTTGTAAACAGGAAAATATTACCACTTTTTTCCTGTAACGTCACATTACTGCGTTAGAACAAAAAAACAACACATTAGAGTAATTAGTTACTTTTATAACACTTTTTATTTTATAGTAAACGTTCCCGAGCACCACGGAAAGCAAATTTATTTATATTACACAATTTGTATTCTGATGTTTTTATATTTTAAACACACAAATCCCAAGAAAAAAATCTGAGTCTGTTAAAATCATCTGAATTTCAGCATTAAATTGTTCGTATTTCACCATTTTCTGAGCTCTTCTCATGTCATTTCTTTGTCAAAAACCGACCTGGAGTTGTGTTTTGTTTCATTTATTCATATTTAACGCACAAACTCTGCCCATTTACGCTGATTTTTTTCTCTCAAACTGACATTTTGAGCTTTAGAGATGTAAACAAACTCATAATAAAGAGTTACTCGAATATATAAATGAAACAAAACACAAGTCCAGGTTTGTTTTGGACGTGGAAACATGATTCTAACGTGACTTAAAGCTCACACAAGAGTCAGTTTTCTGTAATATAGGATCTTTAAAACGAGTCTAATCCACTTTGAGCATCGAGATCGAGTTTCAGTCGTGTTTCATGTTCAGCCCGGGTGTTTTTAATGGACAAGTTTCCAGCTGCTCTGTCGGTGAAAGTGTCGAGGTTTGGATCTGTTGGACTGATTTTGGTTTAATGGTGATGATTAAAAGTTCAGGAAATGAATATTAAAACACAACTGATCTGTTTCTAGCTTGAGAAAAAATAAAACTGAATTGAAAATCTGGATCAATAAATGAGTGTTATATATTATTACAATTTCAATCTTGATTTCGATACTAAGGATTAGACTCGATACTCGGTTCTGATTCAAGATAAAACCATGATTAGAAAAAACAATTTTTTTAGACAATAAAATGTGATTTTCAATATTAAATGGTATCTCCTTATATCTATGTAATCCCTCTGTGGTCCAGGTCTAAACCAGATCTAAACCAGGTCTAAACCAGATCTAAACAAGGTTTAAATCAGGTCTAAACCAAGAATAAACTGGGTCCAAACCAGAACTAAACTAAACCAGGTTTAAACTCAATCTAAACCAGGTGTAAACCAGGTCTAATCCAGATCTAAACCAAGTCTAAACCAGGTCCAAACCAAATCTAAACCAGGATTAATCTAAATGAGGTCTCAAACAGGTCTAAACCAAGTTTAAACCTGATGTAAACCAGGACTAAACCAGGACTGAACTAAACCAGGTTTAAAACAGGAATAAAACAGAACTAAACCAGGTCTACACCAGATGTAAACCAGGACTAAACCAGGTCAAAAACCAGGCGTAATCCAGGTCTAAATGAGGAATAAACTAAACCAGGTCTAAACCAGGACCAACCTAAACCAAGTCTAAACCAAGTGTAAACCAGATCTAAACCAAATCTAAACCAAGACTAAACTAAACCAGGTTTAAACTAGATCTAAACCAGGTATAAACCAGATCTAAACCAGGATTAATCTAAATGAGGTCTAAAACAGGTCTAAACCAAGTTTAAACCTGATGTA